CCCCCCCCCCCACCCAACACCCCCACCATGTTTCCCGGGCTCCGCTGCCCCTCCTACTGGCTTCTTTGCTGTCAGTGGGAAGCTGGGGAGGAGAGCGGCGAAACTCCGTTCACCGATCTGCTTCCCGTGCTATGGGACCGGGAGCGATGCAGATTACATCACGTGAGGTCCCATATCTGTCAGTGCTGGGCTCCTGAAGCGCAGCTATAAGCTTTTGAAGTGTGATATGCACTTGAATAAGTTATTTCAAGTGTGAAGGGGATACTAGGGGTCTTTTGAACCCCCAGCATCACCTTAAAGAGTACCTGTCATCACCAATCTGCTATCGCATTGGGGGGCTTGTAAGTTCCCCTATCTAATAGCAATTAAAGTAAAGTAAATAAAAATAACAGTTTTTTTCAAAATAGTATCAAATAAAATAAATGTAAAAATAATGAAAAGCAAATTTTTAAGTCCCACGTACCCGCGAGCACGCACGTCATAACGTAAACGCACGTCGGGTGCACCTACGTATGAAAACAATCACGATATACATGTTGGGTATCGTCGTGCATGTCAGAGTGAAATAAATTCTAGGGCCAATATTTATGCGTGTCTCAAAACTGATGACCTGTAGGGGCTTTTGAAGCGTCGTCCATGGACTTTTTGCGGTACTGAATTTTGTCGCCATGCACAGATGCACACAATTTTTAACCTGGACATGTTGGGTATCTATTTACTCACTGTAACCTCATCTTTTATATTGTATTAAAAAATAGGTATTTTATTGTGTTTTGGGGCACTAAATTTAACTTAAGAGCATCTTTCACAACATTTTTGGGTTTGATAATAAGTTGCGCTTGAAAGAAAATGCTGATAACAAGCCCCACCCCAAAAAAATGTTTTCTCATCCCATCCCACAGCCTACATGGGCATGTCAACACTGTTCGGTATTTAGGAGCAGTGCAGAATTGTTACCACACCATCACAGGAAGCTTCATTAGATGAAATTCACTGTTTGGAGAATACGATAAGTGCAGAATATAAATGTTGCGGGACATATTTTTTTAATGGGAGGATGTAGTTCTACTTTAGGCATTTTTAGGGGGAAAGACGCTGCAATGTATAACCTAATATAAACACTGCTTGATGTGTATTTGTTGAAATTGTTCATTACAGGTGATCTACAGTGTATTCATGTGCAGTAGATAGACTTAGTATGGGGTTTCTGTAGACACAGTGCTTTGGTTGCACAAAAAACCCCAAACCACAAAGACAATTGAGGAGTATTTATACCTTGTATCTTATATTCCTGAATATCCCATGTATAGTCTATACATTACCATATAGTGCATTATTTGCATCCTTCTACAGACAACGTCCATTACATAGTCAGCTGACTGGAGAAGGAGAAACTAAACCATGCTATTATTAACACCAGCATCTACACCTATCAGCCCAGTGGCGGACCTAAGGAACAAAGGGCCCTGGTCCAAGTTTTTTTTTTTGGGCCCCCCAACCAAAAAAAACCCCCACAAACACAGCGCTCTCCTCCCGCAGCGCTCGGCCGGCTGTCACTTTCTCTCCTCCCCGCTGGGCGCTGCTCTGTGTCCCAGCGGGGTGGAAAGAAAGCACGGATGGGCCGCTGTATCAGCAGAAAAATTGCGCTTTCGGCATTTAGCCAAAAGTCCCATTTCCGCCCGATATCTTTTGGCGGCCGATATATCGGTGCAGCCCTAATATTTACAGCAATGCAGAATGGCGCAGGCTATAGAGGACTACACGCCCCAGCAATACTTTATATAACAATAGCATTTCTGTATAAAGTACTGCTGAGATTTGTAGTCCTCTAAAGAGGGTGCCATTCTGCATTGCTGCAACAGTACTTTATACAACGTTAGGCTACAAATAATAATTATTTTAATTAATTATTTTCCCTTACGTCTTCTGGCTGGTCTTCTGTCTATCCGGGAGTGTCGGATGAACGGATGATCCGACACTCTCGGCGCAGAGATGGGGGGCCCGCTGGCCGCTGGGTACCGATCCAGTGCTGGGACTGTGCTGGACCCCCCCCAGGCCAAGGCCCTGGTGCGCCCGCACCGGCGGTAGTTCCGCCACTCTATCAGCCGTAACATTTTGACCACTGAGAGGTGAAGTGAATAACATTGATTATCTTGTTACAGTGGCACCTGGAAGTGGGTGGCATATATTAGGCCGCAAGTGAACATTTTGTCCCTGAAATTGATGTGTTGTGTTGTAAGCAGAAAAAATGGGCAAGGGTAAGTATTTGAGTAACTTTGACAATTACCCAAATTGTGATGGCTAGACTACGGAGACAAAGCAACTCCAAAGCTGCAGCTCTTATGGGATGTTCCTGGTCTGCAGTGGTCAGGGCCTACCAAAAGTGGTCCAAGGAAGGAAAAACCGGTGACGGGCTCATAAGGTGGCCAAGGCTTATTGATGCATGTGGGGAAGGAAGGCTGGCCCCTGTAGTCCGATCCAGTAGAAGAGCTACTGTAGCTCAGATTGCTGAAAAAGTTAATGTTGGTTCTGATCGAAAGGTGCCTGAACACACAGTGCATTGCAGTTTGTTGCGTATAGGTCAAGATGCCCATGCTGACCTGTGTCCACCGCCAAAAGCGCCTACAGTGGGCATGTGAGCATCAGAACTGGACCACAGAGCAATGGCAGAAGGTGTCCTGGTCTGATTAATCACGTTTTCTTTTACATCATGTGGATGGGCGGTTGCATGTTTGCTGCTTACCTGAGGAAGAGATGGCACCAGGATGCACTATGGGAAGAAGGCAAGCCGGCAGAGGCAGTGTGATATGTTGGGCAATGTTCTGCTGGGAAACCTTGGGCCCTGCCATTCATATGGATGTTACTTTGACACCTACTTAAACATTGTTGCTGACCTAGTACACCCTTTCCTGGAAACTGTATTTACTGGTGGCAGTGGCCTCTTTCAGCAGGATAATGTGCCCTGCCATACTGCAAAAAGGGTTCAAGAATACTTTGATGAACACAAACGTGATTAATCACGTTTTCTTTTACATCATGTGGATGGGCGGGTGCGTGTGTGTGTGTGTGTGCTGCTTACCTGGGGAAGAGATGGAACCAGGATACACTATGGGAAGGATGCAAGCCGGTGGAAGCAGTGTGATGTTTTGGCCAATGTTCTGCTGGGAAACCTTGGGCCCTTTAATTCATATGGATCTTACTTTGACACGTACCACATACCTAAACGATGTTGCTGACCTAGTACACCCTTTCCTGGAAACTCCCTGTGTCCTTCAATGAACGGAGAGAAAAGGATTTTACGGTGAGTACCAAAATCCTATTTTCCTGGTGGCAGTGACCTCTTTCAGCAGGATAATGTGCCCTGCCATACTGCAAAAAGGGTTCAAGAATATTTTGACGAACACAACGATTTAGGTGTTGACTTGGCCTCCAAATTCTCCAGATCTCAATCCAGTTGAGCATTCCTGGGATGTGCTGGAAAAAGAAGTGCAATCCATGGAGGGCCCACAGCGCAACTTACAGGACTTAAATGATCTACTGCTGATAGCTTGGTGCCAGGTACCATAGCATTCCTTCAGAGTTCCAGTGGAGTCCATGCCTCGATGTGTCAGGGCTGTTTTAGCACCTATAGGGTGACCTATTCAATATAACATCGGTGTAATGTTATTCTCTTGCAGACTTAATGACAGCAAAAAGTCAACAAACTGTTGTGGTTTACTTTGTGTTCCTAAATATAATGGACATTTTTGCAGGGGAAAAGGTGCTACAGTTATGGAAGTTTCCATTTGTTTTGTTCGTTTAAAGATCATCTCAATTCACAATTAATATTTCAGTAAGTAGGCATTGCTGGGATGCATCAAAAACCATTTTATATATCTTGGAGACTCCAATAGATGAATTTTCCTGTAGTACTTTGAATACCCTGCAGCAATTCCAAGAGCTATAACACAAGTGCGAGTCTGGGACTGTCTTAGCCTACTTTTTGGTTTGTCTGTATGATGGAGAATTTGCCAGGAAAGTGTCAGTCCATGATGACTATAGCAGTTGGGTGAACCTGGGAATTCCATTTCTGATATCTCATTTTGGGAATTCTAAACTGATGAATGAAGCCAGCCTGTGATTTGATACGTACTAGGTGAAACATTTGAAAAGTTTGTAGTCCAAGTAGAATGGGATTCTGTGAGGACCTTGGTGATGTCTTACTGTGAAGCATAGTCTTTCCACTCTTGTCCTAATGCATTTTTATATTGCTACCATTGCAATCTCTTTACTTATCAATGCTTTCACATTTCAGAATCCTATAGTCCCCACGGGTGATATTGTATACAACAAGATCCATTATAACAGAGTAGGGGAAAAAATACATGAGCAAAGGAATTGACAGCACTGAAGAAGAAAGAGTATAATAAATAAACCAAACTATGTAATCGGTAGAATCCAGTCTCATTTTTCCTTGGGCCTGAGGTCTGGCTCTGGCGGTGCGGGTACTGGAGTACGATGTTCTGGTGCTACTACAGAGCCTTTGCATTGACCCACCTCAATAATGTGTGAACCAATACAAAAGGTAAAGTGCAACTGAAGCCAAAACGTTTTCTTCGTTTTGGATAGAGTGGAGATGGATTAGAACGCCTGTCATGTTTTTATTGATGTCTCTTTGTCCTGTTGACCGTTATCACTGAAACTGAAAGAAAATCCCAAATGTTGAGCAGGAATAGATGAGAAATCTTCTGATGGGGACACTAGTTCTGGTGACCCTTCTAACCACCAGGGATTTCCCTAACTTTGGAGGCATTGCCTCTCACTTCCTGTAGTGGCTATCAGACAGGATAACCTCCTCAATGGGACACAGATGGGGAACAAAAGCCGTCAGGGGTTATAACCCCCCTTACCCTATCCAAAACAAAAATGTTTTGGCTTCAGTTCTAATTTAAGGCATTCCCGGCTTTTTCTACATCACAGGTCATGTAACCTCATCAAGGAAAATATCTAATCGCATTGTTCCTGGGAAAACGCTGGCTGCTGGGAGCCCCTGGTCACATAATAAGTACCAAATGGGCAAAGGTTGGGCAACAGAGCCCTACAGTGCTGCACGTACATCTGTTTATTGTGTTATATACGTGTGCGTAAATGTGTATATGAAGTAGAAATGGATAGCAGACATAATTCTGCAGAAAACTACATGTCTGTCTTTTGTCTAGAATAAGTTTTCCTTCTGAATAAGTATACATTTGTATGCAGTTGCATAGCATTTATATCTTGAAGAGATAACTCTACAAAAACCAGACATTTCAGTTATGGAAGGATGCTGATGGATTTAATGAAGGAACAGCTCATTGTATCTCAGACATTACAACGGTCTACACCCTCATTCTTACTAGCCTCCTGCATTTGTTTTATTGAAAGGCAGGGGAAATTGACTAAGTCTCAGTGCTGGGGCCTTAGTTGTTGTCAAGTTTTTGTTATTGACTGTTTTTATGACCTTTTGGAAATAAATTGATATTATTGGACTGATCCTGTTTTGAGTGCCGGCATTCTATGGATTCTTGGATTTAAGACTTAGGCGAAAGCCTCACCTGGCACCGAGTTTCCATTAGCAGGAATTGATGTGTGAGAGTTGAGCTGTTCCATTTTCAAATCAGTTCAGGAGAAATTGGACTAGGAAGTATGGGGCCCCATTCACACTTGTCTCATGAATTCCTCCATCTACTGTGGGCAGGAGGCACTGTACAATACAATGTCAGCTGCCCCCGCCCACAGCTCTTCTCATTGGCTGTTTGCATGTAATGGCATGTGTTGGATTACCTGTGGATAATCTCACCTGGACGCAAATGGTCTACGTCAAGGTGCAGTCATTGGCAGGTCATGACAGCATATGCCATTGCATGCAGGTGGTGACAGCTGTCATTGTATTGTACAGCACCTCCCATCCGCAGCAGATCGGAGGAATTTGTGAGAATCAGCAATCGGCCCCATTGGGAAGGGTGAATGGGGCCTTATACCTCCCAGATCAATTTTTTCTGTGTTTGAGGGCTTGTTCACGCCATGTTCAGACCAGAAAGTTATTTTGTCCACACCTAAAATGCATCCCAATGTATTCCTATGGAGTTTCTGGGCTCTGTTCAAACTAGTGAGGTCCGTTCTGATGCGGAAGAAAAAATACTGCATGCAAACACATCGAAAATGCATGCAAACACACTAGAACGCACCTATAAGACCAATTAGGCTTTCAGGACATTGGGTGAACAAGCCCTTAATGTACCAGCATTTACATGTATTTCGATGCGTTCAGAGAATCTAAATGCTCCTGGACACATAGATTTCTCTCTTTTCTAAACACAAGTACCCTGAATGTGGCTAAATGCCGGTAAATGCACAAATGTGAAAGATACCATTTAATATGATTATATTCATGTATAATCTGTTGTAAATGTCCTATAAACGCATGTATGTCATTGCCAGTGTGAATTAAGCTTATTGGTGAGATTTGTTTGCAGTAGTTTATCTCCTCCCCTGCCATATAGTACATAATAATCACAGATGGACTCCTTAGTTATTTGTTCTATATGACTGAGAATTCCTCTGCACCAAGTGACACCATCATTTTGCCTTTGTAATGAATGTGGACTAAGGTAACATCTGGGAAATTCTGGCAGGTCTTGTAACACAAGTGTAAACTTTCTGCTTTGGGCAGAGTTCAAATGTGAAGACGGTATAAGACATGACCTGTACACATACGTACATAGATTTGCATACTTGTGTATCGCAATGTGTACGCTGTGTTTTCTCCAGGCTCATGTTCCTGTTCATGGGAAGGGCTTTCCATCAAGAATATGAGCAGCAATAGACCCTACATTAGTCAGAAAAATTTCCTCTGAGCTAGTTATGAGTACAATTGTGACATATCCTCCTTATTACCTAACCATGAGAACATCCGCGTGTTGTGTCATTGTATTTCTTATCATTGATTTTTATACAGGAAAGCTAGTGTCAGAGAAAGACTACAAGCGACTGCTCCTGAGTGTCACAGTCCATTCAGATGTCTTCAAAATGTTCTGAAATGTCTTTTTATAGTTTGTCAGCTGCAATTGTAGAGATGCGTGTTATTAATAGGAAAGAGATCCTAGACCAATATTTGTTTTAGAGAAGGCAGCAGCCTTATTCACTATTCATAGGATTTGCTGACCTATTTAGTGAAAATAATGTTTGAAAGCTGAGTGATTGATTGCTGTGGGTTTGGACACATTTTGAGTAAAGAGATTGTAGCAGTGCATGTGGTAGACAGTGCGTGCAAATTGTAGTCTCACACGTCTGCACAGCGGACAGCCTTCTGTGTACACTCAGATATTTTGTTTCCTGCTTTCAAAATGTGGGTGTTGCTGTGGCAGTCACATGACACCGCGTCACTTCTCACAAAGCTGGTATTTTAGGGACTTTCCTCTGCTGCTCCAACTTTCCTGGGGCTCTTCCCCTCCCTTTTATTCTGTCCTTTCACTGTACAAAGCACCCGCTACACTTTGTACTCCCTCATATTGCAGGTTTCCCCTGATATTTTCACAGAAGACAGTCTGCCTAGTTTCGTGTAAGAGAGGATTATTTACTCCTGGCTGTCATATTGTTACATGGGCACACAGTAAGCACAGGGAGTGTGGCAAGCTCTGCGAGACTGGATTTACTAAATGACCAGCCCTTGATTACTCCTCCTTCTCTCTACCCAGGACCCCTTCTCTGATTATCCAAAAGGCTGGAAATAGAAAATGAACAACGGACTTAAAGTGGAACCGTACGATGTAAGTACCTTGTGTTTTCCTGTTCTTGATCTGATTTGTTGTATGTAAAGCTATGTGTATTTACAGTGTTATACTCTGATACATGTCAAATGGTCTAACAGCTCCTAGTGCTGGGTCACCTTTTGTTTACACTTTCAGGGCTAGAGCAGTACATTGATGCATTCTAAGTGGGCTGTTTTTCCAGCTTCTTCCTGATTAGTTGAATAAATTCAGAGATTGATATCGCAATACATGAACAGGATGATTGTTATTGTCTGTGCTGCATGCTGATTCTGTTACTGTGTTACTTGATGTCATTACAGTTCAGTTATAGGGAAAATGGAGCACTTCTAGCGATTATGTGACATTATGCTGCATGTTCTGTATATTTGCAGGATGGTGTCAAATAGGCATAAACACATAACCCATTAAACACATAACAACCCATCTGAATTCTATCCTGAACTGGACTGACTTCAGCAGAGTGATTTCGGAGTTGCTTATGTGGCTTACTGCAAAAGGCACTGCAGAGTAAAAGCCTTTTATTGAATAAAGACATTTATGTTGTTTTTACTCAAAGAAGTACAAAAAATAAACACTATCGGCATAATCTTTAAAAATTATACTAATTTTTAAAGATTATATACTCGTGAAAATGCCCTGATACATAGCGCCGATCCTGGAGCTTTACATTTTTTAATGGCTTTGGCTGCCTGAAGTCCAGTGCTTGCTTGGGACCTCAGGCAGCCTGCTGTGGACCTCTTGGTAGCTATCTTTGACAGCGCCGGTCAGGTTTCACATCCCTTCCTCCTCCTTCCCGAGACCAGCACAGCCCTGGACAGCCCCACACTCGCCTCTACAACCCTGGAGAGCCCATCGTGTGGCAACCACCCATTCAGCCCTGGAGAGTCACACATGCAGCCTTGGTGAGACGCGAACGCAGCCTTGGAGAGCCCGGTGCCTCGAGTTTGGGTCTCTTGGTGAGACCCAAACTCGACCCTGATGGGACCCACATGCAGCCCTGACACCCAAAGACAGCCCTAGTGAGACCTGCATGCAGCTCTGGTGAGATGTGAACGCAGCCCTATTGAGGAGAGAACGCAGCCCTAGTGACACCCAAATGCAGCCCTAGTGAGACCTGTGTGCAGCCCTGGTGAGTTTCAAATGCAGCCCTGGTGAGACCTCACACAGCCCAGGTGAGCCGGCTGCCATTCTCCATTGCTGTATAATCATAGATTGAGTTATAGCTCTTCATAACTATAAAGAAACTGCCCTAGAATCATTAGTCTGTATTGATTTAGAAAAAAGGTAACATGTTCCTTTAAGAAAAAGTATCGGGAAGTACCTGAGGGAAAGTACTTGTACTTGGTCTTGACAAATGGTATCGCTGCATCCCCAATACAATTGGTTTATTTTCCTACTAAAAACAGCTGTGACCATGCAGATGTATATTGGTAAACATACTCTACAGAGTGCTTTGCTTTCAAAGCTGTTTCTACTCTTTTTCTTTCTGTAGAAGCTGATCTCAGCCAAGCTTTCCAAATGATAGAACGCTTTCCAGGAGTTTGAACTGATGCTGGTTCAATCACTGGATTGCATTCATGGCAAAGCTGTTTACTATAATCCCCCATCACTAGCAACATATACTCACCTTTGAATTGCTTCCCTGCTTCTCCTTTCAATGCGAGGAGCTGAAGAAAATACTTGTTACTTCCTGGTATGGGGGACCATGTGAATCACTCCATTTGGCAGCGCTGGACCAATCAGTTCTGTTACAGGGGCGTCCATAGCTATGTGTAAACTACAATTCTGGTGATTCGTAGATTACGTAAGACTTTAATTTTGCTCCTGGTGGCCCTGGAGACCCGGGCAGCGTGGGATTAAAAGGAAGGTAAGCATATAGTCTGTGGAGGTCTGCATTAAAGTTAAGGTATTGCTTTGACATGCATCTGCAAAGCACTGCAAAGAACTTTAATGGTACATAGAGATATAAGATGAGGAATTGTCTGATCCTGTCATTTTTTTATTGGGGTTAGAAAAAGATCTGATATCTGTGGAGGAAAAAAGAAGTGTTTACAGCCCCACTCCAAGACCCCTTTTTTTCTTCTAAGGCTGGGTTCACACCTGGGCGTACGGAAAATTTCCCAGGGCTATCCTGCTGTATCCTAATGGATATGCGCGGCAAATACGCCCCAAAGAAGCTCCTGTACCTCTTTGGGCGTAGGGCGTTTTTCAGCGCGTTCCTACGGGCTGTAAAACGCCCAGGTGGGAACCATGCCCATAGGCAATTATTGGTTTTCACATGTTGAGCGTTTTACAACGCGTAGGAACTCGCTGTAAATCGCCCAGGTGTGAACCAGGCCTTACCTGGTAAAGCAGTTTATGCACACCCAAGTCCCGTCAAGGTCCCTCGCTGATACCAGTTGGGACATTTTCCCTTGCAATGACAACACTCCTCCTCTGGATCCTGAGAGGAGCCCGCCACTGGACAGCCAGTAGGAAGTGTCCACTTCACACAGGCAGCAACAAGATGAATATCCGAAGAGGGACCCTGACAGAAGTAAACAGGAGAGGAGATTTGGGATTGCAGAGCTTTAGGCAAGTAAAAAGTGCATTTAGATAAGGTTTTTTAATACAGCAATCACTTGGAGAGGGTGACAGGGGACTTATCTTTATTCCAGAGATTGGCTTTAAGAATTGTTCCCTCCCAGCACTGCCACACAGCTGCCTGCTTGTGCTATAGAATTGTGCTGTAACAGTGCGTATGTTGCAAGTTATGTGCAGTTGTTTTTGTGAACATGTATTCAGTATATACTAACAAGCGTGGTTTTTGATCTTGATTTTGTGGTAGCTGCAGTACTGGTAAAGTAAAAGCTAAACTGGAAAATTCCCCCTGAATAGACCTAATAGCAGTAAGTTCATGCAGAGGAAGGTAACATTTCCACTGCTGAAAAGTACATTTGTTCTGAATGGTCTCAGGTACTACCACACTGAAACCTCACTGTACTTAGTTCCAGATTTCTATCAGTTTCTAGAGCAAACGTAGGTGGAGCTGTGGCATGCAGTAGTTACAACTCTTGTTTCATTTTGTCTTGTACTAGCGGCTAGCCTATTTCCTTTCATCCATTTTTCATAAACGTGCCCCTGTATGTTTTGTTATTTCGACACATTGGAACAAATAATCTTTTATATATATCTAATCTATACAGGGGCACGTTTATGAAGAATGGATGAAAGGAAATAGATCTATATATAGATATATATAGATATAGATATATATCTATATCTATATATATATAAATATATATCTGTTATAT